AAAGAAAGTTTCAAACAGTTGCTATGTCAAAAGGGATTTCATACGTGAAACACTGAAAGAGTTCTATCGCATCTCTGGTATTGGCGTCTATCCCGTTTCAACCGCCGCATTTGCTCATTAAAATACTTGGAGAACGTCCTTGCATAAGGATATTAAATAGGGGGGTTGCCTAGGTAACGGGGCAAGTGTGAATCAGAGGTGTCTGATGTTAGTCTATTACACGTATACATGTACGTATCCGGTAACTTTGTGCGCGTTTTGTTTATGTTGCACCAGTATATGCAGTTAATATCATTCCTCCTCCCCTTTTATAAATCTACATATACCCCAGAACTAAACAACACGACACGACGGTTTGACTCGCACATTTGAATGTTATTTTTCATGAAAAGAATCCGTTTTTTTGATATGATGCATTCAAAAGATTTTTAGAAATCTCACATTTAATACCTTTCATGAAAGAGACGTGATCAAATAAAAATAATAAAATTTCGAATGAGGTATTTGAGAGATGAACAAACATCGTTTGATTGAATTTAAAAAAACTAGGTATTAAACGATATTCAACGATTGAAGCAATAATTTAAATCTAGAATGCATGCAATAGAATTGAAGCAAACTTTAGAAACATTTGTGGCATTTCAAAAGTAATAAAAAATCTTCAAATTGCAGATTGCGACTGCTGGGAGTTGACCAACAAAAATCGTACGTGATACCAAAAGTTAAACTTTGTCTCTTTCACTCTATACTCCCCGCTTGCAGAGAGATTTTTGTCGAATAATGTAAGAAACTTCGTTGCTTCTAATGAGTGTCGCGCTACCAGAAAGTTTATTTTCCGTATTTAAAAATCATGAAATCCTCGCAAACTTGGAACTCTATCGGAGATTATCTGCTGTTTTGTAGACAGTCCATTCATTTAAAGAAAGGTACAGCGTGGATGCGTGGGCGATGCGCACAACTGAATACCGGCCGTTAGGGAAATCGCTCAAAGCCCACTCGTAAGCCTTGTTTTTCACACAAAATTTGATACAGATTCTTCGATCCGTTTTTTGGAATAGACCAAAATCGAAATCGAGCTAAAACACGAGCAAGCAAAACAGCTATCAAAAATTAACTAAACATTCAACATGGCCGAACTTTAGGTATAAGTGAGAGACATGAGTACCAACACAACGCCACAAAAAAATCGAAAATCAAAAATCGAATATACGTAACCCTCAGAAATTTAAAATTCGCAGTATTTTTTGAACAGATAATACCTTTAAGTAAACGGACTTTAGCAGAGTTTTTCGCTTGGTTACCCTTTATATGATTACTTTAATTTAATACTAATGACTGGTGGGAATGAAACATCCAAAGTTCACGTGGCCCCGTATTTGGGAAGTCACTGATTAATATTCCACAGAAGATCATATCTCTTGTTTCATCTTTCTCCCAACCACCAGAGGGATTGTCCATCAACCATCCTTTAGCAGCTGGTGGTAACGCAAAACTCAAAAGTTAATTTACTCTAGCAGCATTGGTTTGACCGATGTAGGTACTTATTATCGAACTGCCTGAGGAGTAATCATGAAAGCAAACAAGTTTAAACGCGTGATATCCACCTTTAGACCCAATAGCATGCTGTTCGGTTATCTTATTATATCGAGCGGCATGGCCTAGAGGTCTAGACCATTGCTTAGCATTCAGGAGGACGCCGGTTCGATTCCGGGTCCGTCTGCCTTGGTCCAAGTTTTTCTGTGGTTTCCTTGGATCACTTAGGCAAATGCTGAGGCAGTAATATTCCACAAATAATCTTTCACTCTCTTCTGTCTTCATTTCGCCCGTCTCATCTTTCTCACCCAAACCACCACCCACCCATTCCCACGATTCCTGAAAGCAGGCTGAAGAGGGCTTTCCGCCCTACCTTCCGGCATAGTTCGGAGGGACTGCCCGCCCACCAGCATTACTGGCTGGTGTGAATGAAACACCCAAAAGTTTTTATCTTATTATACTTCGTTTACTTTCTGTAGCGATGTGACCTTCAGTTTGACCGGCGCAAAGTAGAAGAGAACAGCACTAGACCAGAAAAGGAAGGAAACAACTTCCGGCCAAATTCTTAACCGGTGAGGAGCGTATAATACGTACAGTAGTGCACGGAAAAATTGACCATTTTATCCACTACAATAGCTCAAATGTGTTGTTATTGCTACCATTTACTACTGAAAATATCAACGAGATGTTTATTTGTATTTGAAGACATATTAGAGGCTTTAACGACTGTTTTCGATTCGCACTACTATTCATGATTGAACAAAACTTTTGGCAGGTACTGTATGAAAAAGTATGTTTAATGAACAAGAGTCGAGAGTATAATGAGCTTTTTTCTCCCTACCTACGATTTTGCCAGCGCGCATNTCCGCTACAGCGCTACGGAATCCAGTCAGATTCAAAACGCCTCTATGATATTGAAGAGAGCGCGTGCCGTCACCAGTACTATGATACACAGTAAGCACACGTTGCGTTGTCATGATACGTTGAGGCTGTTGAAGATACGAAAGTCTTCATTGTTTGTGTGCTCAATTAATTTTCAAAATTCCTACTCCGAGTTATGAGCCTAACTGTAAGAACACTGGAAAAGGAAACGTAACCTACTACTCTCTTAATATGTGTTCAAAACAAAAATATAAATTAACTTTTGTTACATCGCCCAAACGTAGACTTGATAATACTAATGATACTAGATGTCCAGAAAGGATAGGGGGTGTTGGTAAATTCAATTCAAGTCACAAAAAAATTTTTTTTGTTAATTTTTAGACAGTTTTGGGAAATTTAATGCCAAAGATGATATTCTCTAAATGTTGACCCTCGCACTGCTGGCATTTCACCAACCAAAAACGGAAATTAGCCGCCACGCGTCTGCACATCTCTCTGGAAACGGCGACCATTTCGGTGTAGATGTTGTACTTCAATTGCAGTAGAAATCGTGGTTTGTTTGCGTACACCTTCTCTTTAAGGTATCCCCATAGAAAATAATTAGGAGGTGTGAGATGGGGGCTTTTCGGAGGCCAATTGATGGTGCCTCGACGAGAGATCACTTTTTCCGGAAAAAGTTGATTTACAACCGCAAACGACTGGTTTAAGGTGCGGCAAGTAGCCCCATCTTGTAAAAATTATCTTTCCACATTAAAACCACCAAACTCTTGCAGTTGTGGAACCAAAAGGTTTTTTAACATATTACAATACCGGTCACTGTTTACCGTAAATGTTCGCCCTCGCCGGTCTTCAAAAAAAGAAGGTCCAATGATGCTTTTACCAGACATGGCAGCTCACCAAATAAATTTTGGACTATGTAGTGGTTATTAATGTTTATGTCTTGGATTTTCTTTGGCCCAGTAGCGACAGTTCTGTTTGTTTACTTGACTAGTTAAGTGAAACTTCGCTTCGTCACTAAACAAAGTGTTTCCAAATGTTGGAAAGCGTTGAAGCATTTCATTTTGCAAAATTCAGTCGGAGAGGATGATGATAACGTTCAGTTTTCGATCAAACTGAATTTTGTAATGTAAATCTTACTTCAGAATCTTATATGACGATGATTTTTTAATGTCAAGTTCTTGTCTCCGTTGGAGAACTGATTGAGGCGGACTTTCACGCACTGACACTCTCATTTCTTCGATCGTTTGTTGGGTTCGAACATAAGGCGAGCGATCTGGATTGTAAATTTTCGCAGTTTAACCGGTATTCCCGTACATTCTCATCTATTTTCTGATTGTATTCCGTATAATGAATTTTGCACGATATAATCGTTGAGGATCATTGAATCATCATTGCGATCATAGGCTCGTACGCCAAAAGCACGATGGAACACTTCCATGCTCATTAAATCTTCAAAAAATAGTTAAACAATCTATCAATACCGCATCCCTCCGAACCACAGCGGAAATATAAATACCCCCTACTCTTACTGGAGTCACTTTGTACGTACTCGCAGCTTACCAACTTAGCGTTTCGTATTTCTCGGCGTTCAAGTTATTGTCTTTTGTCACATATTTCAGCACCACAAATAAGTCTATTTTAGGCAAATTACGCGAGTCAGCTTTGGTATACTTCGTTTACTATCTCTAGCGATGTGCCCCTTCCAATGTCTTGGATGCGCGCTGGCAAAATCGTAGGTAAGGAGGAAAAAGCTCATTATACTCTCGGCTCTTGTTCATTAAACATACTTTTTTGTACAGTACCTGCCAAAAGTTTTGTTCAATCATGAATAGTAGTGCGAGTCGAAAACAAGCGTTTAATCCTTTAATATGTCTTCAAATATAAAATAAACATCTCGTTGATATTTTCAGTAGTAATTGATACCAATAACAGCACATTTGAATACAATGTAATTTTAGTGGATAAAATAGTCAATTTTTCCGTGCAGTACTGTACGGATTTTACGCTCCTCACCGGTTAAGAGTTTGGCCGAGAGTTGTCTCCTTTTCTGGCCTAGTGCTATTCTTTTCTACTTTGCGCCGATCAAGCTAAAGGTCACATCGCTAGAGAAACTAAACGAAGTCCGGAGTTGGGCGCTAAGGACACAAAGAGCTTTCTTATCTTTTATTTACATCCACGCAGATAATCAGCAGGTGTGGTCACCTTTACCGTTTGTTTTTAGATTTTAGCCAGGTAGGTAAGTAAGCGTGTACGTTAAAATAGTTCAGTTACAAAGTGATATTCTGAAAATTGAAAAATTGTGACAATTATACGTACGTGTCTGTATCTCTTTACCTTTACCTATAATGACTTCCGGATATAGGGACGAAATTACAGTAGTCCCTTCGTTGTCGTATACCCGAAATCCACTGTATGTCGTTTAACCGTGTGGTTGTTTTTAGAAGCTAATCTTTATAATAAAACAGATTTCACGCAGATTTAGCCAAGACAATAAAATACCTCCCAACAACTTCCTAATTTCGGCATTTTCTAAATTAATTTCGGCCACTTTTCTGTGCCAATTTCATGATCATAATTAGAAGGAGCCCTAGCTGACATAACAGTTGTTCATTCTGTGTTAGATGGTGAAGAAACCGAAGTTCAGTTTGCCGAAGCAGTTCTCCGCCCGGTGGCAGAGGCCTACTACAAAAAGAGCAACATCAATCTGGACACACCTGACGAAGATTTCCTTTACGGATGCGACCACGAGCTGTACCTGCAATTCCTCATTGGAGTGGATTCGGAAACGGCAGACATTGTTCGAGAACTGACCGGCATCGACGACGTTGTTCCCTTATTGGTAGCTGTCGACATATCGAATCGAAAAGTTGCCGTTATGGAATACGGCGTCGAAATAACTGAAGAATCCGTAGCCTGTTTTACAGAACAATTCCAAAAGGGAGAACTGCACACGTACTCGATAGTGGACAAAATGAGCGAACAAGTCAACGACAAATCAGAAAGCAGATGAAATAAACCTCAAGGTTCATGTACCATCTAAATTAACTCCTGAATTATTAAAAATCTTGGTATGTGCGAGGATTGATCCCTCTGCTCCACCTTTCACTTCGTATATTCAAGTTTTTGACTTCCGTACCTCTAAAAGTAAAACGAAACTCTTAATAAACTCTTTGATATTTGACGTAATCATAAAGTCTTATATATTTTTGCGTACACTATGCGGATATCTGTCTAATTAACTAATTGGGATAAACTTAACTTTTTTGCGAAATTTTGTCTAAGTGTCTTATTCACACCTATATTGTAATACTTTAAACTGTCGAATTTGGTTTGATTAATTTTTTTTAAGGGCATTAATACGAAGCTTCAAATAGTATCACCCCCTAAGAGAATTAATGCCATAAACCCTTTCTTACTCATTGTATACATCATAAAGGAAACCTCTGCAGAATTCCAGCTATCTAAAGATCTAAGGCTTTAGCCTTCAGGTTGATGACTTAGTAAGTCAGTTGGTCAGAACTTCTTTCTTTTCTTATAGGTTGCTGAAAATGTACTACGTAAAACAACCCCATACAGTTTTCATAGATGCTGAAACTGAAATTATGGGGTGGAAACACATATATTTAGTAATAATTTTCTTGAACATTACTAGAAAAAGTTTGGTAGTGTTCGAGAATTATTTTGGCATTGCCTCTCGTTTTACCTAAGTTCTTCCAGCCCCAAAAAGTTCAAATACATTACAGCCGATGGTGATGTACATATACATATGAAAGCGCCAGGCAGTAGCAGAGATTGTTACTGATGAGCAAAGCTCATCTTGGTCTTGCAAACTGAGTGTTGGTCTTACGAAGATGCAATCCAAGAATGTATTTATGCTAGTAAGACTTAGACCAAGACCGAACGAACAAGACCAAGGCTAAAACCATGACCAAACAAACAAGACCAAGACTAAAGCCAAGATCGAATATCCAAGACTAAACGAAGACTTATTACTTCCGATGGATTTATGAGTTAAACTATTTGAAGCAACTTTAACATACTCTTTTCTTGGAACGAAATATTTTTAGTATTTGGAATTTTCAGTTTGTTTTACTAGATTTTAAGACATAAAAAAAAACAACTTCACTATTGTTTCAAAAAGGTGATCTACAAGAATGTCCTCGAAGTCAAGATCAAGACTAAGACTAAAAGTATTTGAGGAAGACCAAGATCAAGATCCAATAAGCAATCCAAGAGCAATAGTGTCCCAGTGTTGGTTTTGGTCTTACTTTACTTATCACTGGAGATTATGGATTGATATGTTTTTGGATTATGGAGGAATGCCGCTTTTTGCTTTGCTATTTATATGTAGTTGCGTAAAACAACAAAAAATGTTAATTTTTGGTAAAACTAACGAATCAGGCTATCATTAGCAGCTGACTTCTTGATACTTGATCAACGCGAACAGTAGTTGAAAAAGGTAGAGCATAGGAATAATCCACACACAAACCGACATTCAATTAACTTTAAATCTGAAGCAATCATAACTTAAATACTTATTCGAGAAACAGAAGATAGAAGGGGGGTTAGAAGTCAGACATTTTCTCTGCATCGTCCCGTAAATACAGTTAATGCAATAACTACGTTTCTCTAATTATAGAAAATAGTCCAAAAAAAGATGTTTTTCGAAGTGGAATAGATGTATGTATTAGGGAGATAATCTCTGTAATTTTATGTAGTCAACAAGACAAATGTGTACCTGAACATTACTATTTTGCCTTAAAATGTCAAACAAAGCGACTCAGTGAACTGATGCTGTTCTGATTTGAGTCTAAAAACCGTCATCGGTTGGAGTTCATCATCAGCTCACCTACTGGCCGCAAAAGCCTTTACGAATTTGTCAAAGCGACAAAGTGTTTTAGCAACATCTAGCATCTACATTAGGAGAAATATTACATAAGTTTCAGTGATTTCCATGTACCACGAAAACAATCGACTAGAGTCTAACGTAAGAAAGAAAAGGAGGTCGATTAAGTTGCTGTTGACCCCGATGGTTTGTCTTTGGTGTCTTAGATTAAGCTGATGTTTTAAATTTTTTAATAAAGGTGCCTAATAGGCAAACAGTTTTAAATATTAGATACGATATTTATAACAAAACTCTTTTCAAACAATTTAACCCATGTGCAATATTTTATCCCTTGTATTCATCAATATTATAGTAGATTGAAGATTGTATCTTCGAAATTGTTATTGTTACTTGAAATATAAGTAACGAAGTTTGATGCAGCATTTGAATTAAATACGTAGGCGTCGATATATTTTTTTAATAGACGTAACATGAGGGATGTGTTCTGATTTTTTGTAAGTGAAAATGGAGGTTGCAATTTCATTTAACGTTTCACTCAATCGAACCAAACCTAACCTAACCTAAGCTAACTCAACCTATCCAAATCCAAACATCTACACCTTTGCTCACTTTGTAATTATCTTTCAGTTCTATAGTTGTTTCTGTGACTGGCTTCACTTCACTACTGACTATAACATCATCCTTTAGTTATTCTTAAGGCTCTGGTTAGGTTATTCTAGTCTTCAAAGTTTTACAAAAGAAACAGGAAGTTTATTTTGTCATAGAAATCTAGAATTTTAGTACCTAAGTTTAGTAGTTAAAGGTTCAGGTAAAAAGTATGTCTAATAACCAATTCCTGACTTGTTTGTAAGTTATTCCATACTACAAAATAACGAAATTTCTTACAATGATTTACTCAAAATAAATAAACCAACCAGGATTATAAACTGTAAAAAGCAATAAAATATTAACGACCTAAATCGCTGTGTTCATATTAGCCTAAACTAGAACTAGTTAGTTAATATTCATTTTATGTAGCATTGTTTTATTATAAATTTACGATAATCGAAAAATAAAATTAAGTACAATCTAGTTAGCAACGTATCTAACAGGTGATAATTTCTAGAATAAAAGTTTCAACAGTTTTATTCGAGTTTTATTAACTTACTGTTGTCTTTCCAATTGCTTAGCATTCGGGAGGACTCCGGTTCGATTTCGGGCTCCCCTGCCTTGATCCAAGTTTTTCTCTGGCTTTCTTGGATCATTTAGGCAAATGCTGGGGAAAATTCCACATATAATCTTTTATTCTCTTCTGTTTTCATTTCGTCCGTCTCATCTTTCTCACCCGAACCACAACCCACCCATTCCCACAATTCCTGAAAGGAGACTGAAGAGGCCTTTGCGTCATACCTTCCGGCGTAGTCCGGAGGGACTGCCCGCCCACCAGCATTAGTTGCTGACGGGAATGAAACACCCAAAAGCTTTTTTTTTTTAACTGAAGCACTGTACAGGTAAGGCAAAACGTTCTCCCAATATAAAAATTACACATTTTTTTCTTCTAGACTAACCGAACTCTCATAATCTTTTGAAATAATAACACCCTTCGAAAGCTTTAAATTATATATTAATTGAACATAAACAGCTTTATTTACATTAAGTACAAGTATATTTTTAAGTTCGATACAAAAATTTATTATTATAAAGGGTATGACAACAATTACAACCCTGTAACTTGTTCGATAAAGGAGCGTAAACTTGAGACATTGGCATAGATTCCTGGATATCTGGGATCCGCACAGCCTGTATGTTGAGAAACCACTCCATAAAGCACACCGTTCACTGTCAATGGCCCTCCAGAATCACCCTAAAGAAAGAGAGGCGAGCGTGTATTAGTGTCCACGCGCAAGAAGTGAAACTTCTTTAGATTGTATATTGTAATAGTATATTTTTTAAAAACATTGATTTAAATTATTGCATTAACTAATTACTAAACACTAAACATTACTAAATACCTACAACTGTAATTCGAGGGGACGAATGCGGAATAATGGTTTAGTTTTGTTAACGACTTTTTCGCTAACAATTTGTCAAAATGGCAAATGCTACCAACAGGTTAGCTTCTGAAGCCTGTTAAAATTACTCCTTTTGGGCATATCCACCAGGGGTCATACGTGGGGCGTGACGTGACGCTAGACGCGTGACGTCACATTTTTTTTATACTCTAGTTTTCCTTCTTATCGTCGATAAAGAAGCTTCACTTTAAAAAACAGATAAACAAGACTTGTAACACAAATTTATGCAAAACTTGTTAGCTCGAGTTTAATTATAACGTATCTAAAACGTGTAATTATAGAGCCTGTTGGATTCAATAGCTTATTGGTAGTAATTACTCCAAATTGCCAGTGCTATTCCTATCATATTGGATCTCATCAGTAAGCCCCAGGCAGTTATGCAAGAGGCAATTCTGAAAAAGGGGAAAGGTAGAAGATGTCTTCACTTAGAAAAACTAAACTGTAGTGAAACGCGGGGTAGACTAGGCACAAGAACAGACGAAATACTAAAAGAGGCGGATTAGAAGCGTTCGAAGTGTGGTGTTACCGGCGAATAATGAGATTACTGTGGATAAAGAAGGTTAGAAATGAAGAGGTATTAGAGGGAATAGGACAACAGAGGACTCTATGAAAGTCGAGATAGGTTGGTAGGACACATTCTCAGGCGTGAAGGTCTAGGCAGAGGCATATTAGAGGTAGAAGCAGGAGTTAAGAGGAGTAGAGGTAGACCTAGATTAGATTACAGTCCGCAAATAGTTAAGGTTGTGGGTTGTTTTAGTATTAGGGAAATGCAAAGTTTAGCTGGGGATATAAATGGAGTGGAGGTGCGTGTCCAACCAGTCTTAGGACTGACGACTTTATGATGATAACTGTTAATTCTTCCTTTCTGTGGATACTTACATGACAAGTATCTCTTCGTTCTGGTGCATCAAGAGCACATAGCGATCTATCAGTAATAAGAGTACCGGTGCCGTTGTAAAGGCGAACACATTCTTCATTGGAAATAACTGGCAGAGATACTGCCTCCAGTTGAGTTGGACTAGCTCCTCCGTCTGATACATCACCCCAACCAACAACGGTAGCCATAGTTCCAGAAAATAAAATAAGACTGGGCGGTGGTAAAAGTATTGTGTTAGTCGATGCTCCAAAAACAAGATCTTCATTCAGGCGGAGAATGCATATATCGTAGTCTTGCGATGTGGCATTGTACAAGGGATGAAGGAATATCTCTGCTACAGTAATTGACGCCCTTGCTGTTTGATTGGTCTCAGAAGCACCGGCACGTAATGTGATGTTGCTTATATCTTCCCTGCATAAATATAAACGTATTTAGCATAAATAAGACAAAAAAGTAATACGTATCGAGAAATTTGAACTATTTGAAACTATTTTAGTCGGGCAGTTTCATATCATCATACCAACAGAATTCTACTTTACTTTACCGATATTTGTTATCTGTTACCGGAAATGTATAAAATCTGTCATTAGAAAATACCACAAATGGCGCGGTAAACGCCATCTGTAGTACGATGCTACATTTTAGGATTACGTATGCTCCAACAAGGTCCACTTGTGTGGATATCTACTTGCTGAAAACGAATCCCGGCGTAGCCAACCTCAACGTGATAGGCACGTTAGCTTAATCGAATAAAATAATTCGAAGTGGTCTGTATTCTGTCGAAACTGCCAGACGCGGATCGCGATTTCGATCTTTTTGGATCTCATCAGCGCGTCGCAGGCAGCTCCGACAGAACACAGACCAACTTTTACCTGCTGTCTTAACAGTGCGTTTTAGAAAATACTACAAATGGCGCGGTAAACGCCATCTGTAATACGATGCTACATTTTAGGATTACGTATGCTCCAACAAGGTCCACTTGTGTGGATATCTACTTGCTGAAACGAATCCCGCCGTAGCTAACCTCAACGTGATAGGCACGTTACCATAGTCAAATAATCGTCGGAGCTGCCTGCGACGCGCTGATGAGATTCAAAAAGATCGAAATCGCGATCCGCGTCTGACAGTTTCGACGGAATACAGACCACTTCGAATGTTTTATTAAATCCGTCATTGTTTATAATTCCTAGGAAATGTGTATATTTCCTAAAATCGGCCAGAAATGTGTGAAATAAATTATATTAGACACATTTCCTAGGAAATTTATACATTTCCTAAATAGCAATCGGAAATCTATTGCAGGTAATACTACTATAAATAGGCAATAATACGGCAGGCTGTAAGGAGATGTGAATCAACAACGTGACGAGGTTATCTTTGTTTCATAATAATGCTGATCATGTTCATATGTATTTGTTGGGCGCAGAGATCATAATGAAGCATACTTTTCGAAGACATTATTCCAACATATAAGCCCGCCTCCGGAGGACAAGGGCATTAAAGATATGTCTGTCACATATCTACCTAATAACCATATAATAACTAGCAGAGCCGGACTGAAGATTTTGGCCCGGAGTGCGATGTAACCAAATGGCCTGGTTTAGAAGGGAAAGTGCACAAATTTTAACAGCACTCGTTTTTAAATAAATTTCCCGAGTATACAAGAAATTCGTAGATCGAAACGCTCTTGAATTTTTAGGGAATAAGAATTAAAAACGTTACTTAATAGTTTGTTTTTTGTTTTCCTTTTATAACAAAATTTGCACCCTGGGCCAGTTCGGCACTGATAAGTAATGCATATTCAGCTCTAAACCTAACCTAACCAAACAATAACGTCATCAATTCATTTATATCCGACATTCGAACTAGAACCGCGTAAACACAGATCTCTGATTTACTAACGTGTTCTTTCATTTTATTCATATAAAGCGTTAGTTTTATACATTTCTTAGTACAGTATCGGAATTTCATACAATTTCTAGGAATTGCATACATTTTCCAGGATATGTGTGTATTAAAAAATCTTTGAAACAGCATTGTATAGATTTCCTAAATAGCTTCGGAATTGTATACATTTCCTAGGAATGGTATACATTTCCTAGACTTTATACATTTCCGGTAACATACCCACTAATTAGGAACGGTGATACAAATCTTATGCCTATAACACCTATTAGAATCCAATTAAAAAACCGTAGATCATTCTTTTGGACAGTTTAGAATTCCATTAGCTGGTATGTCAGATATGTTCAATACTACTTACAAAATATGCAAGGTCTGTAAATCTTTTATTTGTTTGTACTTAATGCGCGCCATAATTAAGTTTTTAGTTCAATGTGAAATGAACTATAGTTTCTAATAACGATTCAGTGGACCGTTTTCTCATTACGAGGTACAGAACTTTAAGGATGGATTGCATCAATTAATCATTATTTTTGTCCTTAACTTACCCGTACGTACAATGTCCTGCAGTGACGACCCATCTTGGTGAAAGAATGCTGGCCCCACACCATCGTATATTTGCATGATACAGTTGAGCAACATATGGAAAACTTTCTACCGTGGTTAAGTTTCCACCGACAATTCTCTCTTCATTTTTACCGTTATCAAATTGTGTAGGGATGGCCCAGATTCCTAACAATTACATCATTTAATTAAATTGGAATGCAAACAAAAGGCTCAAATATATTGTAGCGAGCACGAGTGTGTTTGTGTGTGATCGGAAACACGTGTTCGTGAACGGCTTATCGATTCGCCGACTAGCCTCAGGCGCCTTTCTTCATGTGCGTCGTATTTGTAAATGTGTATGTCGTACCTGCGTTCTGAGAAAGCAGTTAAACAGTTCAGAGAAAAAATAAACTAATCCGGATGTTTCCAGAAGGTTCAAGAAAGTAGATAAAAGAGTGTTTAAAGGAAGAGACGATCGCCGAGAAAGAGTAGAAATAAATTGACCATTGCAGAAGTGAATCCAGAAATAAATACCGCAGTGAATAGTGATATATCAACAGTTGTGTAAATAAATATAATCATCCATAACCCAAGTTTAGTAACAATTTAATAGTGTTTTTAAGTTCTTCAATAATTAGTGTAAATAAATAGTTTTTGTCGTTATCAGTCTTAGAAGTAATTTTGTTAAACCCACGAACATTACAATATATTAATAACACTTACCCAGAATAAGGTGAATTAATGTGATGATTATATT